GCGGATGCCGTCACAGATTACCACCAACCGGGGAGCTTTAAACAGAAATTTATTATCTCACAGTTTCGGAGGCCAGAAGTCCAAACACAAGGTGCCAGCAGGGCTGGATCCTTCTGGAGGCCCTGAGGGAGAAACTTCCCATGCCTCTCTCCTAGTCGCTGGAGGTTGCGAGCCATCCTTGGCACCCCTTGTCTGGTAGCTGCATCAGTCTATGTTTCTCTGCATCCAGATCCCCCTCTCCTGATAAGCTCACCAGTCACTGGAATCAGGACCCATCTTAATGAAGTATGACCTCATCCTAACTCGATTACATCTGCAAAGACCCTATTTCCAAATAAGGTCACATTCATAGTACTAGGAATTAGGACTCCAATGTACCTTTTTGAGGGGTACAATTAAACCCACAATGCTGTCTAATTGTCAAATTTATTTGACCACCTTGACCCTTTATCTTATTTTCTTTGTCCTCCTTTGTTGGTAAAAATTTCTCAAAGAAGTTGCCTACATTCCCTATGTCAATATTCTTTTCATTACATTTTCTCTTTAACTTTTGTTCCTGCAACTCCACCACAGCTCCTCTTGCCAAGATCACCAATGTTGCTAAACCCAGTATTAATATTCAATGTCTTTCACAGTTAAACCCCTCTTTCATCTTGGAAACTCTTTCTTTCTTTGATTTGGGACACTATTCTCATTGGCTTCCTGTCATCTTCTCAGTCTCCAAAGTTGGGGCTCCAATTTGCACCTGTTCTCTTCCATAACTTCAGACACTTCCTAGGTGACCTCATCTAATCTCATGGCTTTATATGCCAGCTCCATGCTGATGATTTGCAAACTTGATATTCCCAGCCCTAGTTGCTTTCCTGATCCCTAAACTCATACAAACATCAGCCTTTTCAGCATTGCCATTGGATGTTTAATAGGCACTTCAACTAAATTGCGTTCTTGACTCCACCCCCAAAATCAAATGTTGGGGGTGGAGTCATCATCATTGACTCATCTCTGTCTCTCACACTTATCTATCAACTCCACCTTCAAAATATATATAACCTCTTCTTGTCAACTCCGTGCTACTCTATTATTTCCTGAAATCATTAATATGTGTCCAAACTGTTGCAATAAACTTCAAACTGATCTTCCTGCTTTTTCCTTACATCTATAATCTACATTCATCACACTAGCCAAAGAAATCCTTTTAAATCATAAGTAGTATCACATTACACACAGTTGGAATACATAAGTAGTATTATGTCATGGGTTTAGCATCCCAAATACCAAAGTGCTTACCATGCCCTGTGAGCTCCATAGGACCTGGCCCCACTGCTGCCTTGCTGATACCAGCTCCAAACATTCAGCCATCCTGTTCTCTTTGACCAGCCATGATGGTGTTTTTACTGTTCCTTGAGCACGCCAAATTTCCTCCCATCTCAGAACCTCTGAATTTGCTGTTCCCTCTGCTTGGAATGCTTTTCCCCTCCATATTTCTGCATGACAAGTTGCCTTAATTTTTTCAGGTCTGTGTTCACATACCATGTTGTCCAAGAGGCCTGACCTTCAAAATTAGAACCCACCGCCGTTTCTCTGTACCCCTTATGCGCCTTTATTCTTCACAGTACTCATCACCCCTGTCATATTATATACTTATTGTATCTCCTATTTTTATTTCTCCAACTACATTTAGCATTCAGACTCCATGAGAACAGAAAATGTGTGGGCTTCACTGCTATATCCATAAATCTATAGCAGTGTGAGGCACCTAGCAGATATCCAGTAATGTTGATTAAATGTCTCATTTCAATTCTTTGAAGCATTTGATACTATTGACCACATCCTTCTTGGAATGTCCTCTTGTCTCTTTTGGTTTCCTCTACTTCTCTGACCACTACTCTCAGGCTCCTCCTGAAGCTCTGCTTCCTTTTCTTGTTTGTTGAGTGTTATTATTCCCCTAGGTAGAGACCTTAGCCCTCTTTTCTCCTCATTCTGTACATTCTCCCTCGATTGCCGTCCAAACCCCATTGCTATGACTAGCACGTACACAAATCCAGATGACTGACGTGCAAATCTCTGTCTCTAATCCAGATTTGTCTCCTAGATTCCAAACTTGTCTATCCAGTGGTCCTCTGAATACCTCCACGTGGATATCGTCAGGAAAGCCAACAGAGGCTTCTCTAGTGACAGCCTGAGGACTTTACTCAAAACTCATGCTTTACTTGCTGCCTTCCTTATTTGCAAAAGGCCCCAGGAATTAGGCCTGTTTTCCAAATAATCTTTAAAAATTATTAAATAACAACTCTCTGTCAAGTATTTCATATACATTTTTTCTAATCCTTCCAACAAATCTTTGCAGTATGGTATTAGCTTTATTTAATAGATAAGAAAACTCAGTCTCAGAAATTTTAAATAATTTGTTCAAAGTTGCAAAGTTTCTAATATTTTATTGTAGTGGTGTCTAGTGTATAATTCTGATTCCCTTCTGAGACGATAAATGAAATCCTGTCTTCCCTATTAAAAAAAAAAATCGAAAACAAATTTAGCAATCCAAGCAATAGAATAGGTTTCTCTGCATTTCAAGGATTTATTGAATCTTGGAACACTCAGTTCACTTGGCCCATTCTAGCTAGGAAGCCAAAAAGTTTCCATTTTTTAGCACTACCCTTTGTCGCCTGCACAGAATTCAATATTAACCTGCTCCAAGTTGATTTTTTAATCCTTTCCCCGCAAATCACCTGAAAATCAGTCCAGATGTCCTTTTTTTTTTCCCTTTTAGTTCAGAGTAAAAGGTTTAATGTTTTAAACATTAGAAACCATGTTTCTAATGCTTAAGAAGAAACGGGTAAAATTTTAAAATTTGGCAGTCTTCTTACAGAGAGAGAGGAGGAAGCCAGAGGTTAACATGAGTGGGTTTGACGCATGCATTTTGCTTCACCTCTAACAGAACAGTAGGCTTTAGGCTCCGGTTTCTTCCACTGGATTAAATCAGGTGTAGCATATGCTGGCTCTCACGCAGCGGCAGCTGCTGAGTCTATCCAGAAAATTGCTGCGCCAGCAGCGATTTCCCTGTGGCTCCTTATTTAATTGAATGAGAACCAGCAGGTGACCGGTGCCATGACGAGGGAATCACAGACACAGTCTGAGCCTGTCACCGTGTGATGGAGCTAATATACAGCCTCTTAGTGAAGTGCTGGATTCTGCTCAGGGGTAGGGCACACAGAGCATTGCCTATTATTATTTTTTAATGTGCTAGAGAGTCATGACGTTAAACCCAATATTTTTACATATTATGCAATTAAGATGGAGAGTAATGATGCATGTGATTTACTTTATAAAATAATTACATATCCTACAACCCATCATTACTAAAAACAATGTTTAATACATTAAGATTCTGTCTTTTTACCCTGATGTAAATGACAAGCAGTGATAAGAAAGTGGGCTGGGAACCAAGGAATAGTTTTTCCTACCAACATGTCATCTTTTTGTTCTGTTCACAAAGAATCTCTGTGAATAGTGTACGCTTAGTTGTGACAGAATGGTTAGAACGATAGGGAATGAAGAAATCAGTATAAACAAAATAAGGATACACTAAAAAAAAAAAAAAAAAGTGGTAATGAGCATTAATTAAGAAAAAGATAAGCATTGCTGTTAATGTTCCATTAAGCCTCAAGCATCAGAAGAGCATTTAGTTTTCACCAGACCCTGGATTTTAAAGAAAGTAAAGGAAGAGTTAAATACTTGATCTGAATGAAGTCTAGCCAGTTCCTTTCAAGGATGATAGACATTAAGAGAGACATATTCCCACTTGTAATTCAGTGACTCTGTCTTTATTCTACATATATTCAGTGACTAGGGAAGCAAAGCAATTCATACCTAGAAGGGAGAGAAATTTAGAAACATTCTATACTCAAGTGCTACAAAATATATAAATGGTAAATGAAAGATAAAAATTTATATTAAGATTTTCTTTTATGCTACTTAATGCGCACATATGTATTTAGTTCAAAGTCTACACAATGTGACAAATAGCTGACAAAAATCATAAGCAAAAACTTAAGAAACTATAATACATTAAATGGGCAAGAGGGGGAGCATTTTGCTGAAATTGAAAGACAATAGATTCAGAGAAAAAAAAAGAATTTTAACATAGTTCAGAGCTTCTTTAAAGTTTTAATGATCACAAAGCATTAGTACCTAAATCCCAAGTGGTGGAGGGGGGCACAGCAGCAATTAATATTAATCTGTGACCCCAAAAACATATTCAGGTTGTCAAAAAGCTCATGTGCTTAGCTAACGATTACCAGGGCATTGTGTTTGCCTAAAATTTTCATTTATGTTGTCTGCTAGCTTAAGGCTTACACCTTTGCTCTTAATAAAGGAAAAGGGGCTACTTAACTAAATCTCCTAACCATTAAAAAAATTGGTTTTATAGCCACCTTCAAGTCCCCCTCAGAGAAAACTACTACAAAAAAAATCCACTTTGATGTATTGTGGGGCTTAATCAGACATTCTAGAGTCAACAAATGGTAAGAAAAAAATCCTAATAAAATGTTTAAAAAAATTGTAAGTCAGTTTGATAGAGTCTGAGTTGCATGTTTGTAGCAATTTTGGAGACCTGCCAGTGTTAAATGGGATCCAGTTGGGGTGGACTGAAGGATTCCTGGCAGCAAATCAAGATAGAAAATCTGACCACATAATGTCTTTTCAAGTAAGTGACAGCGAAAATCTGTTCTCTGGTATCACCGCTGTGAGTAAAGGGGAAGATATTTTATTTAAACATGTTAAGTGCGAAAGAAATCTGTCATTTCCATGTCCTAAAGAATTCACCAGAAAAAGTAAGAAATGTTTCAATCTCTATTGTTTTTTAATAAAGTTTGCCATTCTAGAAAAAAAAATCATCAAAAATAGAAGGAAAGACCCACCCATTTTTTTTTTCAAATTAAGTTTGCAGTTCTATGTATATGAAAAAGAAATACCATTCCTTCTATACCACTGTTAATTTTCAGGAAAAGGGAAGCGACTGAAGCAAGCTAAGGAAGAAGCAATGGCAGAAATCGACCAGTACAGAATGCAGAAAGAGAAGGAGCTTCGGCTAAAACAGTCGAAGGTAAGCAATAAAGTCAGCAGCGATTTTTGTGCAGAATAGATTATAAGATATCGATGTTCATAAGGCGTAATGTAGACTATCAGGAGGGAAATATATGCTAGGATTGCGCAGATACAATTCAAGCAGGGCTGAACACCAAACTAAATCTCAAACATAACAGAACTACTGATTGTACATTTTTCACTTTTAAGGCATTTTTAATTTGTCATACAGAAGGTCAATCAATAGTTATTATGTATATGTAGTATACATTAAAAATCATATCCTCAAATCAACAAGTTGAAGAGATTGGTTAAAGTGTCATTCCTGCCACAGATTATTGACTAACACATTTTAGTAAGAACAAAACTCCAGAAAACATATCGTTTTGTCGACTAATTTTACTAGTACAATCAATAAAAAGTGTTTGAATCCTCAGATATGGAAGGAATTTGTTAGGCCAAATTTTCTTTGGTGGATCCAAAATTTACAAATAATTACAGTAGATATTGTCACAAATTGCTGAAAAGGAATCCTTATGATTTCCTCTGCACTGGCTGGTTCATTCAATAAATCTTTAATTTAAATGTAAAGAAATGATTTTTCCTATGCTGGCATTTTTTAGAAAAATATCTACAGTTTAATGTAAAAAATAAGGAATGAAATTTTCAGAGCCAATATCCTCCTTTCCATTTTGCAACGTGGACTAGAGGATAGAAAAGTGCTAAATGCCAGGTGTTATAATTAAAGTTTATATTTATATGATATTTTCTTTTTGTCTCAGTAAAAATATAAATAAAGTTCTGTGCATGTGGAAACCTGATATTGCAAATGAATTACAAGCAGTTTAGAAATCCTCTTTATTTACAACTTTCATCTTAGTGGTGATAGATGGGATGCTCATGTAGGATCAGATAAATTGGACCCCATGGTAAGAAAAACTTTTGTAATGGGCTCTCTCTTCAAATAAAAAGTCCTTTCTAGAATAAAGTGGACCACTCAGCAAAAATACATTCTTCTTACCAGTATTTGAAAAAAAAGAAATCCTAAAATCCTGAGTCTATGCAGCCCTCCATGATTGGCCCTTGGCTATCTCTCTAACCACATTCTTCCTAGTCTAGCCATAGTGGTTTTCCTATTCTTCCTCCAACAGACAGAACCTGCCGCTGTCACAGGGCCTTTGTGACCACCCTTACTCCTGCAATTGTTTTCTTTTAGGCACATTTGTCTTTTTTTGATCTCTGTTCAATTGTTAGGCCAATCACCTTATCTGAAATTATGACTCTCATAAATACAGTAATATCATATTATGGTCCATTCTTTTTCTTCATAGCACTGATATATTTTATATTTACTTTTTTTATTTCCTCGCTTTCCTTCTGGACTGTAAGCACCAAATCAACAGTTTCTTTATTTGTTTTGTTATCTTGTTTTTTACTTAGACATTAGAATGGTGTCTACTGCATAATAGGTATGTAATAAGTATTTTTTGAAAAAATGAATAACTGACTTGGCTTGCATGAGACCCCAGGTAAAAAAAAAAAAAAAAAAAATTAAAAAAAAGAATAACTCACATTTCTTCTTTGCCTTTACCTTTCCTGTTGAATCTTGTCATAACTATGACATATTAGGACCTGAGAAAATAATCAACCTTAACATTAACCATCTTTGATCATCCTATGTAGGCTATTTCTGATATGATAGCTATTTATATTTTTTAAGTAATAACAAAACTGATCATAATTTCAGAAAGTGGTTGAGTTAAATTTCTTCAAATATTTCTTCTCTAAAAGAATCTTATCAGATGTATACCTGGTTCAGGATATTTGTTCTCTGCTTTGGATCATAATTAAATAATTAAAACTCCTTGTCACTCTCATAATTAGAGCTCCAAGCCAATTTTACAGCTAGTTGATCAAAAGCTTACATAGAAAGGTCAGCATGGTTAAGCCTTGGTACTTCAAGCATATTGTAAAACCATTAGCACAGATCTTCTTTCCTTGGCATGACCTCCATATGTCAGGCATATTGCCATTCCAGTTAAATCTCATCCTCATTAACCCACAGCAATTAGGAGGTCTGGGAGGAGACCCAAGAAACCAGTTTCCTGCCTGCTGTGGGTGTTGTACCTTGATGTTACTTGTTTGTGTGTGGCTTTTTTAGCTCTTGTTTTTGTATGTGTTTTTTCAAATTCCCTGACTTATCGAACAGAAACAAATATCCCAATTTGGATTGCACTTCAACAAATATTGTTTTATCAGAGATTTATTTATTCCTTGTTTATCACTGCTACCCAATATAACATCTTTTACTGAAGAAGATGTTATATTACTAAAAAGAAATCTGGACTACAGTGAAAAATTAAATCTGTTGTTAATACAAGTAAAAGTTAGACCGTGAATCTAAATAGAAAAGCTAAAAAATTGTTGCCTTGGGCATACTGAAGAATTTTATGTCTTTAATTTTTCTTCCTGAATTCTTATCTCAAGAGCATTTCATTTCCTTGAGGCAATCACAAATTGAGAGCATACAATTTTGTTTTGCCTATGACGGTGGGACCTGAAGCTCTGCCTTACCTTAAACTGGAACATTGAAATAACTTATAAGAAAATGTATTGAATGTTGAAAGATCTTACCATCACCATCAATCATTATGCTGCAAAGCTACATACATCAACCTCAACTGAAGTTTTGAAAATTAACGTGGAGAAGTCATTAAATGTTACCCTTTGACCAACCGTATCAGTACATGTCACACAATTATCAACTTCTAATTTATATAGAGTCCCAAACATTCAGGTGACAGGCTTCTGCCAACACGAGCAACAGAACACAGGTAAGTTCTCTGTAATACCTGGAGGACCTGATCATTCTCCTCAGTTCAACAAATATATATTGAGCATCTACTATGATATGTGCCTGATAGTGTTCAGGGCCCTTATAACATATCAGTGAACAAGAGGACACTGATTTTTGCCTCTGTGGAACTTATATTCATTCATTTAAATTCCTCCGAGGGTTAAATCAACCCTCTGCCTGCAGATATCAATGCATAGAATTCTTCCCCAGGAAAGCCATCTAAAATAATGTATGGTTGGTCATTATTATAATGCTGTCTAGGAATCACTATGGATACTTAGATTATTGACCATTTGATAAACTTAGAAATAATATTATATTTAGTTATGCAGGATGAACAATGGGATTATGGGGTATTTACAAGGGTATTACAATGTTTCTGAAAGTGCAATATGGGCTGGAAAAATTCAAAAAGTTCAAGATGGGCAATCAGTGAAAAATTAAAATACTTATCACTAACAATTACCGATTACTTGCTCAATGCAAAGCTTCTGTGCTTAGTACCATCTTTATGATAACTCTCTGCAGAAAATTATCATGTTGTCTTAGCAAACCACATGAAGAATACAACAAATGCTAATAACTGCCTCTATTGCTGCATTGTCCAATATGGTAGACACGTCACCTAAGGCTACTGAGCACTTGAACTGTAGCTAGTCCAAATTAAGACATGCTCTGAGTGTAAAATACATACCGGATATCAAAGACTTAGTATGAAAAAAAGAATTAAGTGATATTTATATTGATTGTACATTAAAATATTTTGAATATTTTAGCTTAAATAAAATATATTATTAAAATTAATTACACCTGTTTCTTTAACATTTTTAATGTGGCTTCTAGGAAATTTAAAATCATATATACGGCTGACCATTGTGGCTCATGTTACATTTTTATCGGACGCTACTGTTCTGTGCACATAGCACTCATGAATCTGGTTTATGTTTTATAACAATCTCATCAAATGGGTGATATTATTCCTATGTTTAAAATAAAGAACCTAAGATTGAGATTAATTTTTCCAAAGTCATACAGAATACTTGCACTAAACTAGCCTAATAATAACTATTTTCAATACTGTTACAAAGAAAAATAGGTTATAGTTTCGTAACAGTTTGTGTATTAATTTTTCACCACTAAAGACAATGGATTTAGGTGGAAATGTATTATACAAAGACTGAGACATAGACCAATGGAACAGAACAGAAAACCCAGTCATAAAATGATCTACATTCAGCCAACTGATTTTTGACAAAGCAGACAATAATATACACTGGGGAAAAGAAGCCCTATTCAATAAATCCGTACTGGGAAAATTGGATAGCCACATGCAGACGAATGAAACAGAATCCATATCTCTCACCGCTCACAAAAATTAATTCAAGATGGATAAAAGAATTAAATGTAAGGCATGAAACCACAAGAATTCTAGAAGAAAATGTAGGAAAAACCTTCTAGATAATCAGCCAAGGCAAAGAATTTATGACTAAGACCCCAATGGCAATTACAGCAACAACAAAAATAAATAGATGGGACTATTAAAAAGCTTCTACACAGCTAAGGAAATAATCAATAGAGCAAACAAACAACCTTCGGAATAAAAGAAAATATTTGCAAGCTGTACATCCGATTAAGGGCTAATACCCAGAATCTACAAAGACAATTTTCTGTAAATGTCTGTTAGGCCCATTTGTTCCAGAGTCCTGTTTAAGTCCAGTGTTTCTTTATTTATTTTGTGCTTAACGATCTGTCCAGTTCTGTCAGTGTGGTGTGGAAGTCTCCAATAATTATGATGCTGCAGCTTATCTCTTTGCTTAAATCTAGTAGAATTTGCTTTATGAAACTGGGTGCTGCTGTTACGTGCATAAATATGTAGGATTGTTATATCTTCTTGTTGAATTTCTCCCTTTGCTATTATATAAAGACCATCTTCATCTTTCTCTACCATTGTTAATTTTAAGTCAATTTTATCTGATATGAGAATGGCTACACCTGCTTTCTTTTGGTTTCCATTTGCATGAAATAATTTTTTCCATCCCTTCGCCTTGAGTCTGTATGAGTCCTTGTGGGTTAGATATGTTTCCTGGAGACAGCAGATATTTGGGTTGTATTTTTTCATCTATTCAGTTAGCCTATGTCTCTTGAGTGGGACATTCAGACCGTTCATGTTGATTGATAGAAATAATATGTGGGATGCTGTTCTGTTCATCCTGTTGGGGAGTACATTATTGCTTTATTTTACCTCTAGTGCTATTGTTTTATATGAACTCTGAGCTTTAGCTTTTGGGTGGTTTAACACTGGTGGGTGTCTATTGTGCTGCTCCATGGATAATGCAGTTCTGAGTATTTCCTGAAGGGCAGGTCCGGTTATGACAAATTTCCTCAGTGTTTGCTTGTCTGAAAACATCTTAATTTCTCCTTCATATATGAAACTCAGATTTGCAGGGTACAGAATTTCAGGCTGGCAGTTGTTCTGTTTAGGAAACTGAAGAGGGGACCCCAATCCCTTCTGGCTTGTGAAGTCTCCACTGAGAAATCTGCAGTTAGCCTGATAGATTTTCCTTTGTAAGTTACTTGATGTTTTTGCCTTATCGCTCTCAGGATTTTCTCCTTCATGTTGACTTTGGCCAGTCTGATGACTATGTGTCTTGGTGATTGCCTCTTTGCAATGAATGTCCCAGGTGTGGGTTGAACTTCTTGTACCTGAATGTCTAAAACTTATCAAGACCAGGGAAGTTTTCCTCCATTATTTCCTCAAATAGTTTTTTCAACCCATCTGCATTTTCTTCTTCACTCTCAGGAATGCCTATGATTCTATTATTTGGCCATTTTACATAATCCCATATTTCTTGCAGACTTTGTTCATTCCTCTTAATTCTTTGTTTTTAATCTTTCACTGACTGAGTTAATTTGGAAGACTTGTCATCAAGCTCTGAGATTCTTTCCTCTGCCTGGTCTAGTCTATTCTTAAAGCATTCCACTGTGTTTTGATTTTCTTAAATGAATTTTTGATTTCCAGAAGTTTTATTTGTTTTTTTTTTTAATATGTCAATCTCTTCAGTGAATTTCTCATTCATTTCCAGAATTGTTTTTCTTGTTTCTTTGAGTTGGTTTTCCATTTTCTCTTGATTTCACTGAGCTTCTTTACAACCCATATTTGGAATTCTTTATCTGTCATTTCAATATTTTCATTTTGGTTGATATCCATTGCTAAACAGCTGGTGTTCCCTTTTGGGGGTGTCCTTTTGCTCTGATCTTTCATATTTCTGGGGTTCTTTCATTGATTCCTTCTCATGTGGAGCAGCCATTGCCTCTTATTTTTGGATTGTCTTTTATTTAGATAGTTTTTGTTTTTTTAACCCCTCACTCATAAGGTTGTATCTGCAGCATATGTTGGGTAACAACCTTTGGCTTTGCTTGTGTGTGCTTTGATGGCAATCTAGGTTCTGGATGGATGCTTTGGTTATAGATATCCTTAGTGTGGTGGCTTTCTCAGTTGCTAGCTGTTTATAGTCTATAGCAGTGGTGAGCTATACGTGTGGGCAGATTCTCTGTCTCTCTTTGTCATCAGGGAGGAGGGAGGTCTTTGAAATCCTCTCTTTCCTCAGCCCTGTGGTCTTCTTAGCAGTGTGAATTTTATAGGCACGCCCAGTTTAATCTCTGAGACTGTAGGTGCTGCTTGTGGGTAAGAATGAACCACACCCTATATGATTCAGTAAATGCTGTAAGAGGCTATGCAAAGTGACCTCCCTCTCAGTAGATGGCACTTGCCAGAAAGCACCAGCTGCAGTACCGTTTTGGGGACCTGTGACTAGCTCTAACCCCTCAGGAGAAGCACTCAAATGCCCCAGGTGGTGGGTGGGGCCCTGGAACTTCTAGAGGTGTCCTTATTCTCCACCACAGCAGAGGCAGCTGGGGGAGTGAGCCTGCCCTCACAATAGCTGGTAGGTAGCTGTCTAGGCAGGGGCCAAAGGTCTGCTCCCAGACTTCTGGGGAAAGCTGCCAGGGAGAGGCTGAAGCCAGAAAGTCTGCTTGTGGGGGAGGGGCCATCTGAGATGCATAATCTGGCTGTCAGGAGTGGGTTTTGCTCTTCTACCTGCTCCCATGCTTTGCAGTCTCCCTCTGACATCTGCCAACAGGCAGGAGTTCAAACCAGCTGTTTCCCCATGATGATACTGCAACTCAGGTACTTCCCTGTCCAGGATCCCACCCTGTGCTGACAGTGCAGCCTTCCTGTTGCGGCAGGGGTGCTCCATGAGTGTATTGCAGCTGGGACCTACATTGCACTCTCTTTTCAGTTCTGCCCATGAGAGCTCCCTTGCCTTCCAAGATTAGTTCACAAATCTCCCCTCTGTGTCCCCAAGCAATACGATTGAATGTCCAGGCTCTGGGGTCACACAGATAGATCTCCTGGGACTCCTGGCCTCTGTGGCTCCTGCAATCTGGCCCAGAGTTTGGATATGTTTGTGTGGGAACAAGCAAGATGAAAACTGAGTGTCTGAAGCCCCCTGGTGAGGAAAAAGGTGCTTAGTAGGTGGAGAAGCAATGTAGTACTGCCATCCCGGCTCGGTTCTGTGGTGACTGGAAGCAACCCCAAGGGAGCTGGCAGCCTGGTGCTCTGTCCTAAGAAGCTCCCAGTTCACTGGTGGCAGCAGTTTTTGGGCTCTTGGTGGTAGAAAGTCTCTCCAGCATCCCAGGAGCCTGCTGACTGCCAGGGATGTGAGGGAGGGAAAAACAAACCATCCACCTACCCTTTTCTTTGAACTCTGAGCCTCTTGGGGTCGATCTCTGCCAGTATCTTGCCCCTTCTTGCTCTGCTCCGCAACTTCTTCCCATGGAATCTCTGGTAGGTTCTGGCACTTTTTTAGTTGGTTTTTGTTTTTCATCTAAAACTTTTCATTCTTTCTGAGATGATATGACAACTGATGTCTCTGGTCAGCCATTGTGTGTCTGACTCCTGGATCCTATTTTTCTTTTCTCTTTTCCCCACAGAGTATTTTTTTTAAGTTTGAGTTAATTTCCAATGTTAAATTTTAAGAGATGTCACACTTTTTTAAAAAGAAAATCCACAATTCTGGCTTCTCTGAGAAAACTAGTAACTCCAGCAATCCTGTGTCCACCTTGCCACGTACTTGTTGGAAAAAAATTTTTTTTTTTGAGTTTGGTAGAATCCCACTTAAGACCCTAAATTTCGAGGGAAAAAGTTTGAACTTGGTAGAATTATTTTGATAAGTAGCTCTTTCTACTTTTAAACAACTTCTTAGCAAGGGAAGTTTTAGCCATATCTTCCTGCTTCTTGTATACCCACATATCAAAATGGTATTTTTGTAAAAGTTATTTGATGTCTTAGAAGATATAGCTTCTCAAAATTATTGTCTTTGAACTGAGAAGCCATTATTGCCTGTACTGTAGACAGAAAAGAACTTGAACCCAATACCCTAGATCACATTTGATTTCAAGCTTAGGACCCAGTAAGACCATGTACATTCTAGAATTTAGAATAGTCTAACAACCTTGAAGTAGACGTCAATCATTAGTGGAGTCCTTTGGATTAAATTAAATGCATTCTTTTCCTAAACACTCACAGAAGAGAAAAACAAACAAAAAACAGCTGTCTTGTCTTAACAGTGCCATGTATGAGAATGTTGAGTTTACAAAGAAGATAAATTAGTTGACTGTTTCCTTTAGTAAAGTATAACTTTCAAAGTGTTTCACTACAGAATTCCCTTAAATTGTTAACTCCCTTGGTGAAATTATATTTCAGTCAAATAATTCCTTGATAGAGAAGCTAAGAGAGAAAAGGTGCTAATGGAAAATACTGGAAATCACTGCCAATTAAAGAAAAATCAGAAAGATATATTAAGCTATGTCTAAAATTATAATGTAACTAAATAAGTATATCTCAATTTGAAAGAAATTACATTTACATTAAATTTTTCAAGATTATATCTATTACCCTAAAAAATATACTTGTGCATGTAAAAATGTCTTACAAGGTATATTATGGCTGTATCTTCCTGAAAAAAAAAAAAAAGAATTAATCAGTTCAGATAATATATTTTAAAAATAGGAAAGTCAGCTAGTTGCTCTTTAAAAACCAGCAAAAGTAGGTTTAATGGTATCTTTCAACTTTATTTTCCAGACTTGTAATTGAGAAAGTAAGTAATAAGGAAAATCTGGGAACTGAATAGAAACCATTACAAATACATGAACAATGTGATGGAAAAGAACTTCTGAACATGGCATAACAATTGTAAACTTGTCTTCAATTTGTGCCATGGAGGAGTCAGTTAGAAGTGAATGTAACCTGCTATGGCCAACTTCCACTTTTAAGGAAAATTTATCCTTTGCACTCACAGTATTGGGAATCTTGTCTGTTCTCTGAAAAACAAAAATTTTCCTGAAAAAAGAATACATAATGTGTACCCCATAGAACAATCATCAATAAATTGGCTAGACAAATTTAACTTATAAAATAATAAATTTTAACATGATGCGCATTCTGTCTGTTTTGTTTTGGTAGATAATGGGTTCTCAAAGTAATCTCTCAGGTGAAATAGAAGAAGAAACACAACGGAAGATACAAGAACTGAATGGACGCTACAACAAGTATATGGAAAGTGTCATGCAACAGCTTTTGAGCATGGTCTGTGACATGAAACCAGAAATCCATGTGAACTATAGAGCCGCCAACTAAATGCACATCATATTGTTCAAAGAAAGGTACGTGGATGCCACCCGGTTGCATAACGCCTCATGTTCATATTAAAGATTTTGAAATGCTAATCGCAAATTTACTAGACATCTACAGATAACGTATGACAAAATCCACACATGGGTACTGAATTAAACAAACAAAAAGGCAAAACTGTCATCATGTCTTTCTTGGTAGTACTTACGACCTTGTCATCGAACTTGGAGTAAGTCAAGAATGTAAAGTAACATATTTTTTTGATACTTGAAAGAAAAACATGGTCATGACAGCTTCTTAGAGGTATGGTTTTTTAAAAAAATTTCTTCTCCTTTTCCTTAATTTAGAAAGTATGCTTTTAATTGTGGTTGTTAAAAGATAATTTTTAAAGTAGGATATCATTATGACTCTTATACTGATCTAAAATGAGCACATCAAGGATTTTGTTTAATTCAGTAATCAGTGGGGAAACCAGCAAGACAGAGAGACAGAGAGAAACAGATGAAGAATGGTGGGTTACATAATCACTCTTTGAAAGAAATGGGTTCCATAACCATTCTATCTGCCTAATCTCAACTAACTAGATGCTATTCTCTTTCAAGTATATTTTTAAAAGAAAAAAGTTGATGGAAAATAAGCTGATAGCACAAATATTTTTGCTTAAAAAAAAAAAAAAGAAAACTCCCAGGATATATGCCAGGTTAATGTGCCATTAGCCCAGTCTCCCAGTAATAGCTAAGCTAAATTCTTGTTAAGCACTAAGTTCTTTATTAGTGCAATGTCCAAATTATCTCGGTCCTATCGTGTAGGCAGGATTAATGTCCTGTTTTACAAAATGGGAAACAGAGACAAAAGAATTTGCCCGGAGTTGCCTGGGGAGTAGCAGTCCTGGGCTTTAAACCAGGCAATATGACTCCAATGTCCACATTCTCTACTTCTTACCAAACTGCTTCCCTGGAAAGTTTCTATATTTGCATCATTAAGAATCATGGATCCTATAAAATCCTTTGATTTTTCAAATAATATATGCAGACAAATTTTAATTCCAGTCTAAACAAAATTTAATTAGTAAATTTTAATTGTTCCCAAATGATTCATATAATTAATTCCAAGTATAAACTGAAATGATTTTAATTGATCATTATTTTAGATTACTATCATGTTTCTTTTTAGTATACAAAGTTAAAATTTTACCACATATTTTACCATTTCATAAAAAGTCAATTTTATATTCACATAAGGTAAAAGGAAGAAAATTTGGATTCTGTTTATTTCTCTATTTTCCCAATTTTTAAAGCAAGGAAAAGCAAACTAATTTATTGGTCTGGTATGGTAGATTTCTCCATTTACTAGAAGGAAAATTGACCCCCCAATTAAAGAACAGAAAGGTATCAACTGTTCCTAGGAACACTGCCCCTCATGTTTTTGAGGAGCTGGGGAGGAAAGCATCAAGTAAAGCTGTCTCCCTGAAATGAGGACGAGCGTGTTCTACTTCAATACAGACTTGGAGAATTCAGTTACCCTATCCCTACAGAGCTGAGATATATAAAACAATGAGTAAAATTGTACATTTGACGGGTTATCATGTGAAAAGATAATTATGAAAAATATATGCTTGTGATTTGTCTTATAGATTTAGTCTTCTGCCTTATCTCATGAAAACCATCAAGATATCAATTTTCTGTTCGTGAAAGCCTGAATATATTATCTGGAACATCCAAGATAATAATAAATTTGTGAGCCTGAATAGGAGATAGGATGATTTTTAGGCCCTAAGCACTACAGAAATACATTGAAGCCAGTAGAAGATATTTCTCAGAAGTTAAGCGGTGCCAAGCCCAGGAGAAAGAGACAAGAGTTGGGCGTCAACACACCGTGCACAGAAAGCTTTCTATGTCCTATTGGCAACTCACTCAAACTCTTTGGGCCTAAGCTTTTTCTGTAGTATTGAAATCTATACTATGTTGTTGAAATAAATGATCTCTATAGGCCCTTTAACATATAATTTTACATACTAAATGAGACCAATTTCAAAAAAGCAGTATTCACTACTTATATTTTTTATTCACTACTATAGCATTTGTTAATTTCTCAGTGACCCCACATCTATTCCAAGCTCTCTATTGTCAAGAGTAGTGCTGTTCCCAGCATCCTAGGTTCTATGTAGCTCATGTAGTTTTACATTCAAATGTGGTTTCACATCTTTGCCTAACTGAATGAGTCATTTTCCAAGAGCTCTCACATTATCACAGATGGTAGAGCTGCCAGGTTTTACTTTATTTACATACGAAAAAGTTTATCTATTTCAGAGATAACTCACTCATCTATGAGAACTTTCTCAATCACACAAAAAAGTTGACTTTTTTTTGTACATGTACTTATCCTAAAAGACTTTTTCTGTTTATACAGGTCTTCATGCAGAAATGAAGCAATCCCCAGTATATTGGTAATTCTTCTCTTCCCGTCTTTTGATCCTTTGCACAATCAGAAACCACAAAATGAAGAATGACTCCATTAAATTCTTACTTGTTTCCACTGCACCTGAAAACAAAACCGTGTACCTTACAAAATTTTAAAGGCATGTAAAGATTCAGGGGTTTTTCCTCTGTATTAGCACACGCACACAGTCAAGAACTGCCACCAACGCGTCACCACTATTACTTCCCAGATAGACAAAGCTAGCACAGGAGAGTTGGCCAGAGTACATACAGCTTCCAACTTTGAAATATCCCATCTGAGGCCATCCTAGGACAGCCACCCCCCAATGTCAAAGCCCAGTCTAGATCAACAGAGCCACATTACCTGCCCTTGACCCTAAACACAGAAGTGAGCAGAGAGGACACCACATGAACCACTCAGAAGAGTCATAGACTCATTAGAGATAATAAATTGTTATTTTAAGCCACCAAGTTTTAGGATGATGTGTTATGAAACGATAGCTAACTAATATGCCCACTGAATATTGCTTTGCTAGGACAGGGTGATCAACTGTCTTGAATGCCATTAAGAGTCCAAGTTCAAGTTCAAGTCACACTAAGAGATGTGACTGTTACATTTACATATGTGGAGGAGGACTTCCAGGGGAGAGTGTGTGATGAGAAAGTGAGAGATGGAAGTTAATGGTAACCGTGAAACTATAAAAATGATCAGAGAAATGGGGCTGCAGCGTGAGGGAGGTAAGTGTCAAGCATGTATTTGTTTGGAATAGGAAACGTTAGAGCATTTTCATATGTCAATTGAAATTTCACTAGAAGAGGGAATTTTTGCAAAGAATGGACAGGGGAACTATTGCAGCAGCAAAGTCCTCAAAAAGGCATGAAGCACAGGATTCAGATGACAAGTAGAAGAGTCAGCCTTAGACAAAAACAGGGACACGTGTTAGCAGGAAGACGGCAACAGGTCTAGGCTGATATCAAGTGGGTATTAGATTTCATGGTAGGAAGATGAGAAAGTTCCTGTCTGATGACTGCTGTTTTAAATTAAATATAAGGGAAATGATCAGCTGAAGATAAATAGAAATTTTAGAAGACTTATCAAAACAAGGGAAGGGGTAAAATGGTCATTTTAGAAAGCAACAAGATGAAGTGCCAGGGAAGTTTAATAGGATTGCCAAGCAGTGCTGAAGGTCTAAACGAGATTTATTGTTATACTTTTAAAATGAGATTAGGTCAGTTGTGCATTTGTCTCTGTTGATGGTGAGCTGTTCAGGTGCAGGTGGGGAGGAGACAGATAACTGGTTCTACCTCCAAACTCATCAACAAAGACCTGGTACCAGCTCTCTTGTCTTGCACCCTTCATCTCTAAAGTTCAACAGGAATAATTCTTCTCAAAAGACTACTATCTCCCTAAATTTAAAGATTATTGAGAGTAAAGCACAAGAAAGAAAGGAATCCAAGCACAAAGCTCATTAAAAATTTGATGATTCTATTTTATCAACTTGAATAAATACAACTGTTGATAACGCTACGTGGCTGTCCTATTTCCTATTCTACCTTCACTCTCGTGGGAGTTTTGCCTAATGTTTATACTACAAGGAGTTACTGGTCTAGTGAGTTTCCTTACTTTAAAAAGTGACCCGAAGGAAATGCTTACCAATGACATAAATAACTGGGAGATTTTGTATCCTATACTATATTAATCATTCATTCACTCATTCACTTATTCAACCATGATTGTTGAATTTTGCTATATCATACATTTGAGATTGGTAATGGAAAGACAGCCACGACTATTACCAAAACTGACGAGTCCTATATTCTTACTCCTCCCACCTCCAGGGACCCAGCTTCTCAATTTCAGTTTAAGACCAGGGACAACTTGAGGGCATTGGATTCCCTCTGTTCCCAAATTAAGTAAAGCCCTGCTATTGATACTGCAAACAGAAAGCATATTTAACACGACTGTTATTAAAAAGATAGTGTAACACTGTAGTTAAGAGCACCATCCCTGGAACTAGACTATCTGGATTTATATATAAGTGGATATATAAGTGTTTAAAATAATAATGGCAATTATTATTATTGTTGTTGAAAAAGAACTAAGCGGGATGGGCTGATCCCAAGATAAAATGAGTGTGGAAGAGGGTTATGAGGTGAGGAATGGCAGAGAATCACTACAGTTTACTTTTTCAAATAGTTTAAATAGATCATCATGAACAAAATTCTTATTTTTAAAGTAGGATAACTAAACTGTTTCTCAATCTTCAGTTAAGTAGAATCCGATGGAACGGAAGTTTAACCGAGCCCGTTTTATTATGCCAACACTTCCATTGAAGAAGCATCTATAACTGTTAACTTGTTATCATTTTTATTAATGTGTAATCAATAAATAAGAACATATGTGTTCCACAGACAAACCCCACAGATATTTAAAGAGAGATAACAGTCAACGTGAGAACCTTGCCAATATTCTGAAGACCTGTTTCCTAGTGGAATTCACAATTTGCACTCACAGTTCGGAAAGATGCTTTTCTAAGCAGAAATGTAAATATGTCCAAACATCTCAAATAAAACCACCAGCACTGAACGTTATAGACATTGAAGCCTACACAG